GAGGGAGGTGGGAAGAGGGAGGAGGGAGGAGGGAGGAGGGAGGTGGGAAGAGGGAGGAGGGAGGTGGAAGAGGGAGGAGGGAGGAGGGAGGTGGGAAGAGGGAGGAGGGAGGTGGAAGAGGGAGGAGGGAGGTGGAAGGAGGAAGGAGGGAGGTGGGAAGAGGGAAGAGGGAGGAGGGAGGAGGGAGATGGGAAGAGGGAGGAGGGAGGTGGGAAGAGGGAGGAGGGAGGTGGGAAGAGGGAGGAGGGAGGTGAAAGGGGAGGAGGGAGGTAGGGAGGAGGGAGGAGGGAGGTGGGAAGAGGGAGGAGGGAGGTGGGAAGAGGAAGGAGGGAGGTGGGAAGAGGGAGGAGGGAGGTGAAAGGGGAGGTGGGAGGAGAGGGGAGGACAGAGGGGAGAACGGAGGGACTGCTAGCAGGGGAGGGAAGAGGGACTGACTGGAGGAAGGGTGAAGGAGAAATAAGGGGTTTACTGAGGGAAAGGGAGAAGGGATATTGGTTTGAATAGGAAGAGGAGTCTCAGTAACTGAACTTTTTATGGATTTTTTTTCGTTCCATATCTTTATTTCCCTTTGACTTGACACTTAATTTCTCCTCTTCTTATACTTATAAATATTTATAATGATCTATTACTGTTTATTATTTTTTTTATTTCTTCTATCTTCGTCACTATTCGTTCATCTCATTATTTTCTTCCTTCGCAATCTGATCCCTTCAATTTCTGCATATTTTCAACCGTTAAAAATGCAAATGATACGTCCAATTTCCAAGAAACAATTTGACATGCGTGCGAAAACACTAATCCGCCCAGGTATTTTCCTAATGGCATTAAATACTTTAAACGACTAATCTTCTCAGGTATATCTTTCGTGCAAATTTGGATTTAAAAATGCAAATAGCACAACGAAAAAAAAAGAAATTTGCCAGGCAACTCATCACGAGTCAAATCATCCTGATGTATCAATTTGGAAAAAAAATCCTAACAATCTGTAAATGCTTTTCCAAATCAACAGCGATAAAAAAACGAAATGTATATACAAGTAAAACCCGCCTCTAAAAAAATAATAATTTCTGCCTCCCCCCCTCCCAATCTATCAGCACTAGCGGTACCATTTTCCCTAAACATCACATTTACAATAACAAAAGCCTTAATTAATGTATGCAAACACCGAGGAGATGACAGCTGCTGCCACATCCATTTCTGTAAACTTCCTCCCTCCTCACTCTCACCTAGGCTGATCCCTTTTAATTATTTTCTTAGGAGCCTCCTTGTATTCTTTCGCGGGTGTAATGTATTCGCTTAATGAGCTGTATAATTTATAACTGTACTAGTGGAGTTATAAAAACTGGGGCATGAGGAGGGAGGTGGGAAGAGGGAGGAGGGAGGTGGGAAGAGGGAGGAGGGAGGTGGGAAGAGGGAGGAGGGAGGTGGGAAGAGGGAGGAGGGAGGTGGGAAGAGGGAGGAGGGAGGTGGGAAGAGGGAGGAGGGAGGTGGGAAGAGGGAGGAGGGAGGTGGGAAGAGGGAGGAGGGAGGTGGGAAGAGGGAGGAGGGAGGTGGGAAGAGGGAGGAGGGAGGTGGGAAGAGGGAGGAGGGAGGTGGGAAGAGGGAGGAGGGAGGTGGGAAGAGGGAGGAGGGAGGTGGGAAGAGGGAGGAGGGAGGTGGGAAGAGGGAGGAGGGAGGTGGGAAGAGGGAGGAGGGAGGTGGGAAGAGGGAGGAGGGAGGTGGGAAGAGGGAGGAGGGAGGTGGGAAGAGGGAGGAGGGAGGTGGGAAGAGGGAGGAGGGAGGTGGGAAGAGGGAGGAGGGAGGTGGGAAGAGGGAGGAGGGAGGTGGGAAGAGGGAGGAGGGAGGTGGGAAGAGGGAGGAGGGAGGTGGGAAGAGGGAGGAGGGAGGTGGGAAGAGGGAGGAGGGAGGTGGGAAGAGGGAGGAGGGAGGTGGGAAGAGGGAGGAGGGAGGTGGGAAGAGGGAGGAGGGAGGTGGGAAGAGGGAGGAGGGAGGTGGGAAGAGGGAGGAGGGAGGTGGGAAGAGGGAGGAGGGAGGTGAAAGGGGAGGAAGGAGGAGAGGGGAGGACAGAGGGGAGAACGGAGGGACTGCTAGCAGGGGAGGGAAGAGGGACTGACTGGAGGAAGGGTGAAGAAGAAATAAGGGGTTTACTGAGGGAAAGGGAGAAGGGATATTGGTTTGAATAGGAAGAGGAGTCTCAGTAACTGAACTTTTTATGGATTTTTTTTCGTTACATATCTTTATTTCCCTTTGACTTGACACTCCTTAATTTCTCCTCTTCTTATACTTATAAATATTTATAATGATCTATTACTGTTTATTCATTTTTTTATTTTTTCTATCTTCGTCACTATTCGTTCATCTCATTATTTTCTTCCTTCGCAATCTGATCCCTTCAATTTCTGCATATTTTCAACCGTTAAAAATGCAAATGATACGTCCAATTTCCAAGAAACAATTTGACATGCGTGCGAAAACACTAATCCGCCCAGGTATTTTCCTAATGGCATTAAATACTTTAAACGACTAATCTTCTCAGGTATATCTTTCGTGCAAATTTGGATTTAAAAATGCAAATAGCACAACGAAAAAAAAAGGAATTTGCCAGGCAACTCACGAGTCAAATCATCCTGATGTATCAATTTGGAAAAAAAAATCCTAACAATCTGTAAATGCTTTTCCAAATCAACAACGATAAAAAACGAAATGTATATACAAGTAAAACCCGCCCCGAAAAATATAATAATTTCTGCCTCCCCCCCCCCCTCCCAATCTATCAGCACTAGCGGTACCATTTTCCCTAAACATCACATTTACAATAACAAAAGCCTTAATTAATGTATGCAAACACCGAGGAGATGACAGCTGCTGCCACATCCATTTCTGTAAACTTCCTCCCTCCTCACTCTCACCTAGGCTGATCCCTTTTAATTATTTTCTTAGGAGCCTCCTTGTATTCTTTCGCGGGTGTAATGTATTCGCTTAATGAGCTGTATAATTTATAACTGTACTAGTGGAGTTATAAAAACTGGGGCTGGGATTAAGGTGTAGTACTATACAATTTTAAAAAGTATTTTTAATGGCGTGGAAGTAAAAAAAAATCCACAGATGAGCATATGTATGTACGGCATGCGTGTGTGAGTATGTGTGTATGTATTTCTGTGTGTGTGCGTGTGCGTGTGCGTGTGTGTGTGTGTGTGTGTGCGTGTGTGTGTGTGTGTGTGTGTGCGTGTGTGTGTGCGTGTGTGTGTGTGTGTGCGTGTGTGTGTGCGTGTGCACGCGTGTGCGTGCGCAAACACAAATGCATATAATGCCAACAACTTTCCCCAGCCTCAACAAAAGGCCATATCAGACAAGGTCTCCTTCCAGGCAGCTAATCGCGGACTTCATTTCTCGGAAAGGTCTCAAGAAGATGCTGACGTCACTGCCCCGAGGGCCAGGTACAGCCAGGGGGAAAATGAGGAAGGGAGGGGCGGGGCGTTTCATTAACGGCGTTTCTACCTACAATCACGCAGAAAATAGCGTTATCATTCCTCATTACCAACCCGCTACCGTCTATTAGAACGATGTGACCTGATAACTGTTCCCAGATCCGAGGTTATCTCCGGCTCCCCCGTCCCGTTACCCTCGCCGATTCGGAGGTCACGCAGGGGAGGTGTGACGCCAGCTGTTACGGGGCAGCTGTCGACACGGCACTGATCAATGGCCCTCCCCGATGCCCTGTGGAACGCTTAGCCTCGTGCCACCTTGGAAATGTACTTTCTTTAAGGCCTATGGAGATTCTGGATTTGCTATGGTTATCAAGACCTATAACGACTAGATTTGCAGTGCCTATGTATTTACGTTATGTTAGGGAAAAGGAAGTTCTACTGTGTATGTTTCCCAAAATGCAAATGTTCGCTACGTTTATTAACATCATTGCACCTGGCGTCACGCCACGCTTACTCGCGTAACAAGAGTGGGAGTAAAGAGGGGAAGGGGCAGGTGGTGGTGACCAGGTGTGGGCAGGGCCTAAGGTCACACAAAAGGGGGCGGGAGGCAGGTGGGCAAAGGGGTGTAGGGTCACACACTGGCCACCAATGACCTGTGACAACTGCCTTCCACCGAAGTTTCCAATACTCGAAATGACCTGACAAACAACTGTATCAAAGAGTGAAAAGGATTCTCGTGCACACACAACTTATAATTTGAATTAAATGCCCAAAATAACCGAATATCCCTTCCTCTCCTCCTCCCCTAATCGCCCCCCCCTCTCTCTCTCTCTCTCTCTCTCTCTCTCTCTCTCTCTCTCTCTCTCTCTCTCTCTCTCTCTCTCTCTCTCTCTCTCTCTCTCTCTCTCTCTTTCTGTCTGTCTCTCTAATCCCATCGCCAAGGTCTGCCGTTGCTTAGCAACGTCAAAAGCAGCACATATTCACAATCAGCACGATGCTTGCCCGTTATAACCCGTGGAAAATTGGAAATAGTAGAGCATCTTTGCCTTATTTGCAACTTGGGGAGAAAAATCTTATACAAATATTAAATGAGTGCTTTACGTCGTGTTTATCCCATTCCTTTTTGTCCCCGATCTTTATGGGGGAAGCAAGGGGATGAAAGGACGAGGGAGAGAGAGAGCAAGGTCCAGGACAGAGAGTGAGGGGAACATCTGTGTCCTGGGGGGGGGGGGGGAGGGTAACTTAAATCAAGACGAACGAAACATGAAAGAACAGGAAGTGCGATAGAAATCCGGAATACAGTGTAACATCTTTTCTAATAAACAACAGTATTTTATATTCTTGCTATCCTACCTCATTCCCCATTTAATTCCCACTTCCCCTTCCCCATGGAATAAGCAGTCCTAGCTGCAGACCTATAACCGTTTAAAAAGAATTTAAAGCAAATGTTCAAGTTTACGGCGTAATTGCTAGTGAAAATAACGGCCATTAAAAACATCTTCCAAATTGATCTTGTCAACAAGAGTAACAAGCCAAGTCAATGAGGTTCAGCCTAAGGAGTCTGGCGCTTACCTTGACGATGTCGGAGGACTCGAGGAGCTCCCTGAGGCCGCCCTCGTACATGAGGTTCCTTTCCACCATCACGTCGAAGATGTAGATCTGCCCAGTGACGAGACCGATTTGCAGGAGTGTCATCGGGCCGGAGGGACCGAGGTTCACCCCCTCCCCGTCGAAGGACACCGGCTGCCTCGCCGCCAGGATGCTGCTCACAAGCTGCCGCGCCTCCCGCACCGACACCACCACGCGCGTGTGCCGGATGAGGCGCCCGGTCACGCTGCCCTCGCTGCCCGGGCTGCCGTCGGCAGCCGAGCTCGTGTAGCTGACGCGGTCACGCTCGCTGTTGTCGGCCAGGGTCTTCCTCAGGAGGGAATTGACTCGCGCCTTTAAGGTCTTCTGCTGCTGCTGCTGTTGCTGTAGAGAGTGCTGGGGGGCGGCAGGGGGGCGTGCAGGAGAGCCGGGCGATGTGGGGGAAGCTGGCTGGTCCTCCTCGCGCTCCGGGGAGGACGACACGCCGCCTCCCCCTCTCCCCCCTCCCCCTCCTCTTCCACCGGCGATGTTGTTTTGTACCTGTTGTGGTTGGGGCTGCTGCTGCTGTGGCTGCTGCGGCTGCTGATTCTGCAAGCCTGGGGATAAGGAGGAGGTCGGAGAGTAGGACGGGGCGGTGCCATTGATGGATGGGAGGGCGGTGGAGTTGGTGGTGGCGTTGGTGGCGGGGGCGCTGGCGGAGTGCACGAGGCGCACCATATTGCCCTGCATGTAGAAGGTGTTCGAGTGCATCTTCAGGAAGGTGGTAAGGTCGCTGGACGAGCGGCAAATAGTCGACAGCGTCTCTTTGGGAAACGCGTTGACCAGGCCGTTGAAAAGTGTCTCTGTGATGAGCGGACCACGGACCAACGCCGCAGAGCAATACTGCAACACCTGAAACAGGAAGAAAAATAATTTTAGAAAAAAAAGGTCTTCAAAAATAACATTACGAAAATAACTGATGCTAAACTATTTGCAGTCTTTTGACACACAACTCATTTAACGAATATCTCCATCTCCCTGCCATTCACACAAAGTCCAGATAAATTAGAGAATTTTGACTTCGTGATGTCACAAGCTTAGTTTCCGAGCCACTCTCCTGCCAGGTGGGGACTGTGGGGGAAAAAATCGACCACCTGTGTAGCTCCTTAAAAATCGATCCCACTGAAGAGAATACCTCTTGATCTTTTTCAGTCAAGGAATCCAGACGATTAAGTACTTAGAAGTAAAATTTATTCCCAGAAAGAAGTACTTTAGGGTTAAACTCTTCCAATAAAGTATAATACGAGCTACTGTTTTAGAAAGTGTATGGAAACAATTAAACAATTCATTAATACATGTATGTGTACACATACATATACAAGCCTATGTATATTACTCACCACCCTCAACTGGCACGACCAGCTATACTGATGCTTGTGTACATATTGGTATCATTATCATCCTGATAATACTGCACTAATTTTAGGTTGTATGACCTAAAGCGACTACTATATTAATGACAACAGACTTATAGTCATGTCAAAACCTTAACTTCTTTGTATTCACTTTAGCATAGATTTATTTTTGTACTTGTAACATAGATTTCATATTTAGTCAAGATACTGCAGATGGGGGGGGGGAGCATAGAAGTAGAGATAGACAAATGGATGAGGGGAGAGGAATACGAAGCAGAGGTAAAGGGGAGAAAGGGATGGGAGGGACAAAGAAAAAAAGAAGGAAAGAGGGAAAGAAAGCGGGAGAGGGAGAGGGAGAGGAAGGATAAAGGAGACGTAGAGGGAGGGAGGGAGGGAGGGACGGAGGGAGGGAGGGACGGAGATGGGGGAAGGAAAGGAGAGGAAGAAGGGAGGGAGGGAGGAAGGAAGGGACGGAGGTGAAGGAAGGAAAGGAGAGGAAGAAGGGAGGGAGGGAGAAAGGGTAGAAGGAGAGAGAGCTAAAAAGATAAAGATAATGATAAAAGAGAGAGAGAGAGAGAGAGAGAGAGAGAGAGAGAGAGAGAGAGAGAGAGAGAGAGAGAGAGAGAGAGAGAGAGAGAGAGAGAGAGAGAGAGAGAGACAGACAGTGTGTGTGTGTGTAGTGGCATGACAACCAAGCGCTGTGCCACGTCACGCTTTTGGCACCCCCGTGCCCCGCGGGATACCATTTCTTCCACGTGAACGAGTGTCTCCGCCCGTCCTTCGTAGGACTTTTCGGCAGATAGGGATACAGATAGAGGAAGCGTACTATAAATGTGTGCAACTCGTTTTAGTTGTGCATTTAGTGTACTGAAGTTGCATGGTGCATTTCGTGTTTTTACGTATCCTTTTCGAGGTAACGCAGCGTTCCGTGTTGTAAGCGCGTAGGTGCGCAAGGTGTAATTTGTGCTCAGTTAATGCAATTTCTTAGTCCGTTTGTGTGTTTCCGCTTTGACGATAACTGAGGATGCCACTACGTAACTTGTGAGGATGTCACCATGGATGCATGTGACGCACGTGAGCAGAGTGGTAGCGACGAAAGGAGAGCTTCTGCTGATGGATGGTCCGGCATAAGTCAGAATAGTACGGTCTCTGGATGATACTGCAAGTGCGTGTGGTCATCATGCACAAGAGTTAATGAATGAAGGCAGCGGTTTTGAACCAACTGATACCGCGGGAGGACTGTGAGCGTTTGTTTAAAGGGTTGAGAGAGACACGAATGAATATGAGTGTTTCGCGCAGGTATGAAAGAAAGGATGAATGAAGCGCATGGTGGAATGAAAGCGTTGAAAGAATGGTGATCCATCAAACCAATAACGTATCGCGCCTTCTGGAAGCCATGACTCGTATTACCATGCACAGTAATAGTCAAGTTGGCTTTAGTAAAGAGAATAGTGTTACTAGTGACGACACGGTCGTCACTGATCACAGTTGCAGTCGTATGAACGTCAATTCTGAATTTGCTAATGGTCGTCCGAATTTCGAGGCCCGTCCGAGCAACGACGTTCTTGCGCGGAGTCGGGAGCTGGAGACGTGACTGCGTCGCCGAGAGCTCGTTACGCCCGATGTTGCCGGGCATCCAGATAGCTTGGTCCACAAAGAATAATTAAGACAGTGGATGCAGTAACTTATGTAGCAAAAGATGTCGCAAAACTGACGGAACACAGGGTACACCGTCATCAAATCAAACCATTCAAAGTTAATAATGAGCTGCAATTGATGATGTCCGAAGGTATAGATCACCTTATGCAGATAAGGCTGACCCGATACAGATGACCCCCCCTAAATGTATTGCTGCTTGGCCTTGTAAGGTCACCTGAAGCTTTGCAGTCAGCCTTAGCTAATTGGTGTTAGTATTAATGGTTCGTATCCGCTTTTGTTTAACATACGTGTTTGCAAATTTGTTTTTGTGCATATTTGTTTCCGCACATCATTATTTTGTATACTGTCATGCTTTACTGTTATTGTTTCTAATGTTGTTTTATTTTGTTTTTATGTTTGCTGTCTGACTGCACGAGTTGTGTGTACTATATTCAAGACTTTTAAGTATTTTTAAGCGAGTTTAAGCATGCTGCTTGTACCTGAACAGTGAACGCTTGGTGCTTGCTATGCATGGTGAAAGGTGTTTATGGGAGTTCCGGGAGTAGTGTGATTGCGAAGTAGAGCACGGGTATGGTACATGACCTGATGCCTGTAATTTGTCCTTAGAGATCTATGAAGTATGGCTATTCTACTTGTAACTGCTTGACGCCCACGGAGACGTATGTTCGTTCCGGTCTTGATGCTTACGTAGCTGTACGCCCCTCCCGCCTGCTAACGTTCTGATGTCGTGGTACGACGAGCTTGTTCCTGTTTTCGGAAGTGTACGCCTCGTGCACGTTTTTGTTGCCCGAGGTGACCGTTAAAGTACGTGGATGTGGACCTTCCTTGCTGTTCCTGAGTTATTAATGACGTCTGTTCTGTAGCGGACCGAACCGACCATCGTCCGTCTGCGTCCACAGTTCTGCTTCCCTACGTTCATAGTGGTGTATACTTCAGCCGCCAGAGCAGCCCCATCGTGGCAGTGGCGCCGCATGTGCTAGGGCGTAGGCCATAAGACTCCACGTCGGCCTCGGAGGTGATTGCGCAACTCGGGGCGGCTAGCCGTCTGGAAGGGAGCGGTTGTAGTGGCACGACGCCCCACCATTATTTTGGCACACCCGTACCCCGCGGGATACCATTTCTTCTGTGCGAACGAGCAAACAACTGTCTCCGCCCGTCAAGACGTTCGGGTATACCTACGTCCATCTTCGCAGGACTTTTCATCAGGCAGAGAGACGCAGGCTTATGGAGGAAGCGGTTATGCACCGCTGACCCATTTGTGCTCATGATCTGAACTCCGCATTCCGGTACTCTGTTGCACCGAAATGTAGTATAGTTAGTTTAGCATCTTTTTCATAGGTCAGTTAGGTAAGCCGATGTTTGTTTATTGTAATATGTTGTGTTGCGTTTAATGTTATGCGTTCCGTGCTGTGTTACGCATTTGTTGTTATCTCATTTCATTTTACATGTCAGTGTTCTGTAGTGTTTGTCACGTTCGTCATAGATCTGGCGCATGTCGTGCGCATGCTTCTCTTCGTATGTTACACAATAAATCAAACAGTTCGACGGATGGCTTTATCTAATCCCTGAGATAATCAAGCTTCCAAAGAGCACAATACCAGACTCCTTGATAGTTCGAGACAATGAAAACCTCGTGGTGGCCGCGAGAACCTATGTCACAGGCAAAACAAATGATGAAATTCTGTCAAAGATATTGAGTAATATAACATTAAAGCTGTATGTTACTCACTACAAGTGAGAGAGGAAATGGGAGGTGGAAAGGGAGGGGGAGGTTGCGAGGGGTGTTACTTGTTTGTTTATTTATTTATTTTCCATTTTAGAAATTATCTCTTTTGTTATTTTCATTTGTTTATTCATTTAGGCCGAACACTTCTAGGATTCAAGTTTGAATATTTCTCTCATTAGATTATATAATCTTTACATTATATAATCATATAACACTAAACAATAATAGGGAAAAAATGAACAAGGGCGTGAGGCGGACTTAAGTCATACTGGCTACCTTTAAACCTCAGTCCAACAACTCTATTTAAATTACAGTTTCAGTTAGAGGTACTTGTTGGGTTTACTCTTGCAAGTGACTCCAAATATGCTAGTGATTAAGTTTTCCTCCTCTTTCAAGTTGGTAAGAAAGTACAGTTTGGGGCGAGGGAAAACAATAGTTCACATAGCTAGATATTTTATTAACGAAACCTTACCACATGAACCAATAACAACAAAATATAATGCGACAGAAATTCGGTAAATATCCATAAGTAATTAATGGATTACACAACACTGTGCGTCTGACTCACACATTTAAGCAATGGATCCTACAAAGCAACCTTTTATCACATATGAGAGAGAGCTGGAGGTCTTTACGGCCTGTTTTAGCATACAACAGCTACGGGAGTATTTATCAGGTTTTGAGCTTCAGACACAAGCACCAGTTGCATATCGTTAACAGTAAAGCAATAAACACAGCCACATATCATCATCTTCGAGTTACAGACTCTTAGGCTGGAAGCATTTATAAGGTTATTCTATTGACACTAAAAGCTATCATTTTTTGCTCTAATCCAGGAGTGTCAAACACCGGCAGGCCACATTTCATTGGATTATAAAGGGCCAAATCATAACAGGTGCACAGGTGTGGGTGTGTACGTGGGTGGGTGTGGGTGTGTACGTGGGTGGGTGGGTGGGTGTGGGTGTGTACATGGGTGGGTGGGTGTGGGTGTATGTGTGCGTGGGTGTATGTATGTATGTGTGTACTTAAGTATGTGTGTAAGTGTTTATGTTTATTATATTTCTGTGTGCATATATATATGTATGTTTGTGTGTATATGTGTATGTATGTGT